GAGCACAGTGACTCCTGGAACGATTCAGCGGCCTTCACCGGTCGCATTCCCACCCAGGCAGGGATAGGGAGACAGAAAACGTCTGGATATTCATGGTGTTGGTGTCAGGTTTCCTGCTCTCTGGCCTGGGAGGTTACCTGGCTCACTGGAAAATTAACAAGCTGTCGAGGAATATTGGCTCGCTCCCGAAGCTCAGAGATGGATTACACTGCCCTGTAAACGCACAAACTCATATAATTGTCGAGATGAGTCGCTAGCTTGGAACTTTGGCTGAGATTCAGACTTTGGCACAGAAGGTGGATTCGATCAAGGAGAAAGTGGACGGGTCAGAGCGGATTGGGATGGATTAATTACGCCATTATTGGATTCAGAGGGGTCATGCTCACCACTACATCAGCTTCATGTTAAAGAGCAACCTGATAAACTATAGAAATTCGTGTCTACTTCTGTTGCAGACATGTGTAGTCAATAGTTTTGCACCTAAGTGCATTTTTGTTAAAATTTTAATTTTCTGCCTAAAACTGTCAGTGTTGTGCCGTTGTCAGGTAAAAACTCTGCACTGCATTTGAAATGAAATCTGCCATCGCTATTGGCTAAGAGGTACCCTAGAACATTAGCTGGTACCATATGATGTCACAATGTCGTTGTGAGCCTGTGTGTGTGTGTATTTGTTAGCGGCTCCGCGCTCTCGGTCTGCTAGGCAACAGCTTTGCAATCAGGAAGTGGGAGTAGAGTACGAATCTGGTAGGGGTGACTTGCTCTTTAAAGGGGGTGTATTATGTAAAGCTTACCTTTTGCATCCTTTTGTGCTGCCATGTGGATCTCTAGTGCCTCTATAAACACTCCAAATATGAAAAAAACCAACTGTTCTTTTGTTTTCTGTCAGGTGTTTAGTTTTAGGAATTATGCTGTTTAAAAAGTCCCTATTTGTGACATCACAAATGGGGATATTAGCATAAAACCACCTCTTGCCTCTCCAGACTGGAAGAGCAGCAGCTCTACTCCAAGCTGCACCTGGGTATCAGAGCATCACAGGTCCTAGCAGCCTGAGTGGTGGGGGTTGGGTGGGCGGGGCCAGCAACAGTGCATTTTCTTAAAGCTACAGTGGCACATTTTGAAAACAAATTAGCTTACATTTTTTCATGCCTCCTAACAACATTTTAACATAGTATAGCTATAAATATATGATGGAGATAAAAAAAAAACAATAAAGTGGTGTTCTCGCATTTCAAATCAACATTTATTTATAAAGCACCTTACAGGCATGAAACGTGACACCAAAGTGTGCACTCACAAATTTTGCAACAGAACAGAGAGGCTCTCTGCTCAATATTATCAGAGAATGAGAAGCAGCCGGCTATTACCACTTCAAGTTTAGGACAAACTACCAGAGTCCCAAAAAGAAAATCACCATTTGAAGTCACGGACAAAAAAATACGTTTGGCCCTAGAAAACGGCGACTGAGGCCCTGTCCACACGTAGCCGGGGGTCTGCCAAAACGTAGATATTTTTCTACGTTTTGGCCTGTCATCCACACGAAAACGGAGTTTTTTCACACGAAAACGGAACTTTTTTAAAACTCCGGCCAAAGTGAAGATCTGCGTTTTCTCAGTTTTGGGTGTCTGTGTGTGGACGGACAAAACCGGAGTTTTAAGGTCCGCAACGTCACTTTCCGCGACAAAAAATGCTGACATCACGTGTGCGACCTGTGTTTACACTAGCCGACAGCATGAATGCCCTCAGAGCCGCGCTCGCTTTATCAATTGTCCAAGGGCTTTTTGCTTGTTTGTTTTTGCAAGCGGAATTACTGCTCCTTGCGGAAGACCACAGACGATGGACGAGGTTAAGAACGGGGGAAGTACTGCCGCCTACAGGTCTGGCATGTCCTTAACAACGTATTTATCCAGGTACGTGTGGACAGTTTTTTTTTAAACGAGGTGGTGTGGATGCATGTTTTTAGAGGGGCGGATATTCGTTTTTAAAAAAACCCGACTACGTGTGGACTAGGCCTGAGATTTTGTGCTCGCTAATTTCCTCGGGCAACGTGGTGTCACTCCCTGTCTCTGAGCTTTCCCTCTGCAGGTGGGCGTGTCTGGAGGTTGACCAAGCTGCAGCAGATCTGCTCATCAGCCGGCCGGGTGTATTTAAGCAGCTGAGAGACATCTACTCTTCGCTGAATGATTACGCAACCTGGGTACCGGCTAACAGCCACTTGTGAATCTTATTCGAGCTCTTTACATTTCTGAGAATTGAATTTTTTTTTTTTTTTTTTGGATGTTGGATTTTTTTGCCTTTGACCTCCTGCTCTTGTCTCCAGAAAGAAACTTCACCCTCATCTTAGACTGGCAGAACTCTGGAACCCACACCATCTGGAACTCCAACCCCGCTCGTCTCTCAGTCTGTCCCTGGACAGAACCACCTCCAGCACCCCACCTTCGCTCCCCTGGATCCGAACCCGCTCAGCTCCCTCCTCGCCTGTGGACACACCTCATCTCGGACTCTCCCCACAAGCCTGCCTCCACGTCAAACTGTAGGTCCACACCAACCCAGATTACTCCACTTACACCCCCCCCCCCCTTTTCTTTGATTCTAACTCTCTCCTCCGTCTCCAGACTTCCCCACGTACCAGAATCTACCAACGGGATCAGCTTGCCTTATTCTGCAACCTCAGTTTTCTTCTATAATATTGTTTTTACCACTACTCTGACTCAGTCCTGATTCTGTATGTCGTGGGTTGGACACCTGAACCGCAACATGACACGTGGGTTACCGATTCTGGCAGAAGCGTCTCGGGGAAGGTACCTGGGGGGAGGTGGGAGTATTTCATGACTGTGTTTGCATTCAAATCCTAGCTTGTTTACAGATTTGCCATTACAGCTTTAAAGTGACAACCCTGAAACGACTCATTCTGGAAGGTGCTGAAAATGTTGAGAATAAAACTGCTGAAATAGCTTTATGTGAGATGGATTTGGCGCAAAGAACCTAAAGGTATGGCGGAGGATGTTGATTTCTTCCACATTTTGGAAAAATGTGCACGAAAGAGGATGCCCAGTTATCCTCGTGCACGCTCAGTTTACAAGTAGCTGGCGGCTACCCGGGTCCTTCTAGCAATAATCTGAAATCAGTTCCTCCATATAGCCTGCCGAACTTTAGCTCACCTGTTGGGCAGAAAACCGGCAACAGAGGTATCTGTGGGGAGTCAAACTTTTGCTTTCAGCATCCACCATCATTGAAAAGCGTCTCCTAAAAAATCTGGTCTTATTTCTCCCTTCGGAGACCTTTCTCACTTTCTCATTAAATGGTCATGGTCGTTAGTAAATCACAAGTTGTTTTTAAGAACAGATGGCATCAATCTGTTTCAGGTTTTAGCTCTGGGTGTGCGCAGGTTGCAGGGTGGCGATGAAGAGAAAAAACTCCTAAAGTCATTCTGAGATCAGGAACGAGGAAAACTTCCTTCATGTGGACTTTTAATGACAAAAAAAGAAAAACAAAGGTGAGGCAGGATGAACACACCAGAGCATAACCCAGGACACTAGCACAAAGCCCCTGCTCGGTGAAAAGGCGGTGACTCACTCTGAAACATTCTTCTTCCAGACTCCGACTGACTCAGAACGACGGGCAGACGGATGGAGAACAGAGCCAGAGCGCGAGAAAGAGGCTCAAAAACAACAGAGACAGTTTGTCACGAGCAGCTTCACACATCAGTGTGTGTGCATTTAAAAAAACTGCCACACGTGAGTAAATCTGCCTCCTGCAGCAGTCATCCTCTCTGCCCCTCTAATACCGCCAGCGAACTGCACTATATGCATAAACCTGGAGAGGCTGGTTTATGTGTGATTTGTTACATTTGGCATTTTCACATCTGCTTTAATCCACTTAGTGCAGCATCAGAATGATGCCCTTTTATCTAATTTTCATATCCATCTCCTCTAAGTGACTCTCTCTCTCTCTGTCAGTTGCCTCCGTCCATTCTGGAGTGCTAATATATGTCACGCCGGATCATTTCCACACCTCTCCACTGTTCCCTGCATTCCTTCCCATCAGTCCCCCCATCTGCCCACGTCTTCTGCTCTCCCCATCTGTCCCGCTCTCCCTCCTCTCTCCCACTCGTCCTCACCAATGGAAAGTCGACAAAACACGATTGACCACACGCGCACCCCCTCCCCATCATCATCATCCTCTCAGTCTTTGTCTGCACCCTCAGTCATCTCACTGTCCAGACTGCGCCTGCAAAGACTTCGAAACAGCTCGCATCAATTTGTAATCAGCAAGGGGGAAAAGGCAAGGGGGAGACCGGACACACAGAGAGGGAGAGACGGGGGGGAAGGTGGAGGTGTGGTTTAGGTCAGGTAAAATTAGGGAGAGTCGTAGAGATGAAAAAAATGCTGTTTTCACCTCAAATATGAAGGGGAGGTGAAGGTGAAGGAGAACATGGAGCAGGACAGAAAAGATTGAGAAGTAGAGGCAGAGCAGAGATTCAGTAAAGATCCTTTTTCTTTAATTCTCAGGACTGTTCAGTGCATGTATTTTTGCGTGTGATCTATATGTGAACAAGGTGGGAGGGATGGAGGGAGGTGGAGTGGAGAAAGTGGCTGCAGTGCATCGTCAGGGTGAGTGCACACAGGAGAGGGAGACAGAGAGAATCCCCGCTTTTAGCTCCACAGTATTACAGCACTGCAGCGATATCCACAACAATGGCAGTCTGGCACTCACAGCATTGTGCTATTGATCTCAGCCGTGGAAGCCCACTCCAGTCCGTCTAACTGCTTCTCCATCTCTTCATCCTCTGCGTCTTCTCCCATCGCCTTCGAAATGTCAGCTTCCTGTTTGTGAGATTGTTCAGATGACAACAAATGTCACCGTCTCGTGTTTAAGGTGTGTTTTGTATCATCCTCCTGTCAATGCCTTGTATCTTTATTTGATCCTAATCTATCCCCCCCCCGCCCCCCCCCCCCTTCTGCAGGCATACTGACTTACTAACCGGATCTCTTCTAAGACACCGCACTGGAGACGGAGAGCAGCAGGAGTGAGGGAGAGAGGGATCGAGCAAGCTCAGGAGGAGAGAGAAGGAAGAGAGAGCGCAGCAGAGGGAAGGAAGACAAAAAAAGAAAAACAGGACGCTGAGAGAAAGCGAGTCGCAGGAGGAAGAAGGAGAATGCGCGGCGTCTGGGCAACACTTCCACGCTTGTGTCCAGGGCCTTTGTGAATACACCATGGGATGCATCGGCTCCAGGAGACTGAGTAAGCATCTTCCCTCTGACTGCGGGATGGGGTGGTGATGGGGTAGGGAGTGGAGGAGGAGGAGGAGGAAAGGGGTGTGTGTGTGTGTGTGTGTGTGTGTGTGGGGGGGGGGGGTCCTGCAGGAGCAGCTGAGGTTCCGTGTGAGCGACCATGGGGACGGTGTTTGCATGTGTCAGTGTGCTCGAGCTGCTTGTCTCCCCTTTAGTGTTGGCAGGCCGTGCATGTCCGCTCGTAGAAACGCTCCACACGCTGCGCACACAGGCAAGATGTCAATGATGATATGTGTTCAAATCTGTGTGTGTGTGCATCCCCCAACTCCCCAACCCCCTCCCACCACCACCACCACCATGACTCCAGCCTCTCCTCTCTTCTCTTGATTTATGATGCTCCTCGGCAGCATGTACATGTGTGTGTAGGAGGCGGAGGGACGGAGTGCAGAGAAGCTGAGATAGTGCTGATTTACAGGGAGGCATGGCTTAGCGGAAGAGTTGGATCAAATAGAAACGTGAGAATGCCGTCGTCAGCGACGTTTGTTGTTGTTTGCATAAATAACGAGGATGCAGGGTGTGTGTTTGGGGGGGGGGGGGGGTGAAGAATGGAGCAAAGGAGAGAGAATCCTAGTGTAGGAGGAGAAGAGTGGACACTCGGGGGATGGCGATGGAGAGAATAGAGGGGAGAGGGAGGGGCCTATCCATGCAAGGAGAGTGTGTGTGTGGTTCAGTTTGGACGGTCCTGGACTAACCCATCCTTATCATGTCACTCTAAAGACTTGTTTCTGTTTTTATTTAAAGACAAACAATCATTTGTTTGGATGGATTAGATCCACAAATGGCTGATTTTACCTAAAAGTAAAAACAGAGATCTTCTATTTATGTGCCACGTATTTACAGAAGACACATAATCATGTACAGCACCTAGAAGAATGTCAGGACTGGGTTACAGATGACACAAACCACCACCTTATCATGTTTCATAACAAAATGTAAATTCTTTATAGCGAGGATTTTAAAAATAACCTAAATATGCAAGTTCACAAAACCCAGAGCACTACATGACACAGTTAGGGAGCCAGGTGTGAGCCCAATACAGCAGAAGCAGCAGAAAACATCCTCACACGGCGACTCGGGCCATCCGGGTAGCGCGATGTGACTCATTGCCAAGGGAGGAGATGGGATCCTCTGTCAACATTCAGGTCAACTCCGTCTGCTGGAAAAAACATGGCCGAAGGAGACAGAGAGCTTCAGAAAGGTGTTGTCAATCCGAGCGCTTGCCACCTGCGTGATGATCACTAAAGCTTTAAAATTCAATAAGCATGCTTTAGTAACGCTGATTCCATTTTTCAATCAGAGGCTTCCCTTCAATTTTCAGTTGCTAATCCCTCTGATGCACTGCAACGCAAACAGAGGTTAAAAGAACTAAATAATCGAGCATTTCGATTCGTTTCCTCGTACAGCTGCACCGCCACGGAGGCGTGGTCGTGTTCATCCTGAGTGAGAATAGCTTTTGTGTGCACTGTTGATCAGCCTCCTCAACTGCAGAGTCCAGGCCTTCAAGCAGAGATCAACAGGAGGTGCTTCAGGCGGCAGGACCGGGTCGGGTGGCCCCTGATGCAGCGGCGTGTCCTCTGGTAACGCTACCCCTCACCGATCCATAATATCACGGGCTGAACTTCACAGCCAGGTTCTGATTTCACGCACGGCGTTGGGTATTCTTCCTGTACGCTCTCAGATGTTTGCGCCCTGGAGGGGTGACACCATCCCCTGTGTATGGTCTCATATTAACAAAACCACTCACAAAGACATGAGTATATTCAGATCAATGAGCAACCAGTGTCAAAAATGATCTATGAGCAGTTGGGAATAACAATGTGAACGATATGTTTGCTCGTCCTATTTCTAAACAACAATTTACTTAAAAAAAGAGTTTCTGGCATCTAAAAGATGCTACTTTGACACTTGCGTAGACTCCCTATCAACACATGAAAGTTGCAGCTCACATTCAACAAGACAATGTTGGAGCCAAAAGAGAATACCCCTCAGAGAAGATGAACACGATGAAGGGTTGATCGGTTGCAAAACTCCATCCAATAATACCTAGAAGGAAAGCAGAATCCGTCTTATTTCTAGGGTGTCATGCCCATTCATTGACCTTTCATCTAAGATTAGATCACGAAGAGAAAGGGTCCAGAAGGCAATCCCAAACACGCTCTCCAGCTCCTCCTGCCAAATCCCAAGTTGTTCCAAGGCTGGAGAAGATCTATAATACCTCCAGCAAAGATCTGCTTCTGCTGCTAGTGACAGGTGTCTGGAAACCCTACAAGGGAAGATGACTAGGAGGCGACTAAAAGAAGACCTAGTGTTGTCTCCTCCAACCTCGTCTCTAATAGTCCACCACTCAGCGCAGCTCGACTCAGCAACTGAGAAACGGCTCTAGTGGATCGTTACAGCAGGGCGGCGATCTGCAAACAACACAAACAACAATTTGTAAAAATATTCTGCTTAGTTGATGTTTTTTTGTCGGACCAGAAACAGTGTGTGGGCAGCAAGCTGGAACGCTCTGGAGAAACCGGTGATTCCACCCCTTTGCCAATCAGTGACCAATAATCTCTGACGTCGTGCTTTTAGCGCTGCTCGGGACGCTTGGAACCACCGTGAAGCTGCCGCTAAAAAGAAGGCAGCAACCAGAGACCCATTACGAGAAGGGAACCCTTGGAACCGCGTCGAACCGAGTCGGTCGGGTGCAACATGGCCCTGAGGCTGAGGAGGCTCTTTTCACCCACTCATTCTGCGGGTCAGGGTCTGCCTACATCTCATGACCTTAAACCAAGACAAGAACATAAACAAGCTGAAAACGTCTTTTCAGCTCAGCTTCTTCACCACGTTGCTCTGTCTCTCGCTCCATCCTAACATCACTTTTCAACAAGACTCCAAAATACTTCTCTGCTTGAAACGGAGACTCCCTCCAGCCCAGATGTGGCTTTCTTCCTTTTTCCAGTCGAGAACCACGGCCTAGCATTTGAAGTTGCATACTCCTCGCCCGAGGTTGCTGAAGGTCATGGGTTTAAGGTGCATGTCTTCTATACCCTATAAATGTTTTTAATTTTGTTCAAACTGGTGTTGTGGTGGCAAACGTGAAATCCAGTTTATATTAAGTGTGTGGTTATACCGTTGTGGCTTACCTGTGTACAGTTTTGAGTAAGAGGCAGTTAAATTAGACCTGGCAGGAAGGTCGAGAGGTAGACAAACACTGTTGGCTATTGTTTTCTTTAACATTTCTTTTAGGGTAAACAGGAGATTCAGTCCAGTTAGTGGAAGTGTTGGTTTTCAGTCCGTGATCCGGTCCGCGGGACAGCATCAACCTGGATCGTGTCCTCACCGGGGAGTGACGATGGGCGTGCACTTTAACTATTTCAATTATGGCAGTTCTCTTCAACTTTAACACATACTTGAATAAAAACGACGAGGCAGTGATTAAAATTCAACTTGGTTTATAAATTAAAATCAGAGAAAAAGGTACAAGAAGAAAAACAGGCCTGGACTCTTTGGGGTGTCTCCAAAAAGAAACCAGAGCTTTAGCTGAGATAATCTGATATAGGCTACCGCTGTCTGGGTTGCCACCCCTTTAAAGGGAGACTAGGCAGTTTTGGCTTGCTTTTAGCACCCCCTGGTGCCTGTTTAGTAGAACCAAAAGCAAAAGCTGTGCGTTTGTCTTTTTAACACCTTAATCTAGCAGCTGAAATGTCTCCCCACTTCATTAGTGTCTACAGGAGCGATTCATCACTGAATCAAACAAATCAGCTGACTTCTTTGTCTAAAACTAGCCCCACCTCCACTTTCCATATATATATATTAAACTGAGACTGGACAAAGGCTTTGGTACCAGAACCTCCACTAGAGGAGACCTTCAGATTCCCCACAGGAAAACAATGTTCGGACAAACTGTATTGCCAGTCAGAGGGAGTCAATTTTGGAACAATGTCGTCGTCGTCTTCCTCCGCTTATCCGGGTCCGGGTCGCAGAGGCAGCATCCCAACTAGGGAGCTCCAGACCGTCCTCTCCCCGGCCACCTCCACCAGCTCCTCCGGCAGGACCCCAAGGCATTCCTGGACCAGAATGGAGATGTAACCTCTCCAATATGTCCTGGGTTGACCCGGGGGCCTCCTGCCGGCAGGACATGCCCAAAACACCTCGCCAGGGAGGCGTCCAGGAGGCATCCTGACCAGATGCCCAAACCACCTCAACTGACTCCTTTCGATCCGGAGGAGCAGCGGTTCTACTCCGAGTCCCTCCCGAATGTCCGAGCTCCTCACCCTATCTCTAAGGCTGAGCCCGGCCACCCTACGGAGGAAACTCATTTCGACCGCTTGTATCCGCGATCTCGTTCTTTCGGTCATTACTCAAAGCTCATGACCATAGGTGAGGATTGGGATGTAGATCGACCGGTAAATCGAGAGCCTGGCTTTCTGGCTCAGCTCCCTCTTCACCACGACAGATCGGCTCAGCGTCCGCATCACTGCAGATGCTGAACCAATCCGCCGATCCCTCCTACCCTCACTTCTGAACAAGACCCCGAGATACTTAAACTCCTCCACTTGAGGTAGGACCTCTCTCCCGACCCGGAGTTGGCAAGCCACCCTTTTCCGATCGAGAGCAACAATGTCCCAGTGAAAATCAGAGTGTGCCACCTATAGCACCTTCAGAGAGCACCTCAAACTAAACCTTAAAAGACATGTTTGGACTTTTAGTAACTTGCTCATTTGTTGTTTGTCTATTTTTTGAATGTGTTTTAATCTGACATTTTTTCATTTGCCATTGTCACTTGTTTTATTTAGCCATCTTGTTGAGGGACTACAGATGTAAATTAGTAATGACGCTATAATCTGGCCCATTTACATTCAATACAAAGTACGTGATTGTTTTTTAATGTGCATTGTCCCAAATAAATAAATGAAATGAAAAACAAAACATGCTGGAAGCAGACTGCAGCGCCAGGTATGTCAA